ATGTATGTATATAATGTAGTGAAATGCGTTCGGTTTGTTGTGTTACAAAAGCAAGTGTGCATGAAGGTTGGTTTTAACACGAAAGGTATTTTGGCTAGTTCATTAATTTGTGTGTGTGTGTGTGGGTGGGGTACGTGTATGTGTCTATGACTGAATGAATGCTTGCATGTATGTGTGTACGTAAGTGCGCATATAATATACGTATGTTGGTATGTACGTTGGTATTTGTTGGCCATTTGTCCCTGTCTGTGAGTGTGTGTCTGCGTGTGTGTGTGTGTGTTGTGTTTGTGTCTGTTGTGTGTCTCTGTGTGTCTCTTTGTGTTTGTCTCTGTCTCTGTTTGTGTCTCTCTTTCTCTCTCTCTCTCTCTTTTTGTCTCTCGTTGCGTCGATATTTGCATTTGTCCGTGTCGGTGCTTGCCTGTCGGTCAGGCCCTGCCAGTCGAGATCTGTCTTGATGCGAGAGAACAGCAACAACAAAGTGTCTGTCTGTTTATTTGTTTGTCTGTTTGTCCAATTCGTGTGTTCTGTACTGCAATGCTATTTGTTTGTCCTTGTTTGGCTTATTCCGACCCAGGAGAATGCGGCGGGTGCAGTTGCTGTCATTCATATTTAACTGCCTTTCCCGTTTCACTCACGCCGACTTCGTCACTTTATCAAGTTGCTTTAACAACACTTTATCAAGTTGCTTTGTAGATGGGGCCAGAAACAAATGACTCTCCCAGGGCGTTCTCCTTTCATACTGGGTGAGTGAGGCATGTAAGGGCCATTTTTTTTTGAGGACACCATGCTATCTCATGCCCATCCCCCTTAAATGGCACAGGGATGGAGCCAACAGCGCCAGCGGCGCCAGCGACAGCTCCAGTTCGGCCTGCGAGAAATCGCCTGGCTGCAAAGCGCTGGGTCTCCATGGCATGTGCTGCCCCAATCCTGGAGGCGCATATGAAAGCTCGCCATACTGCTAGGAACTAGGAGCAAAGGGAGCAAGAACGCTACTAGTCGTCCTAGCAGAAGAGCCCTGCTTTACTTTACAAGATGTCCGATGGCAAGTTATATAACCCCATAACGCAACAGACACCAGGATGTCAGAAGATGCATGTCAGACTACAGAAAGATTGATCATGTGAGTGGTGATCCGGAAGTCGTCCTCCAGCCGCGTGATTCGTGATTCGTTTCGTGATTCGTGATTCGTGATTCGTGCTTCCCAATTGATTTTCCCTTTGACAAAGCCTTTTCAAATGCATTTTTAGTTAATTTTTTCCAATTGATTTTACCTTTTACAAAGCCATTTCAAAGGCAATTTTAATTGATAAAAACCCAATTGATTTTATCTTTTCAAACACCTTTTCAAAAACCTTTTCAAAGGCAAGTTTAATTGAAAACATCACAATTGATTTTCCCGGGAATTTTAACTAAACATAGATTTTCCCAATTGGTTTTCCCTTTCAAAAAGCATTTTCAAAGGCAGTTTTATTCGAACAAAAGCAAATTTATTTTCCCTTTGAACATGCCTTGTCCAAGGCAGTTTTAATTCAAACAAGATTTTCCTAATTGATTTTCCCTTTGAAAAAGCCCGTTCAAAGACAATTTTAATTGAAAACAATCAAATTTATTTTTCCCTTTGAACATGCCTTTTCCAAGGCCATTTTAATTTAACAGATTTTCCTAATTGATTTTCCCTTTGAACAAGCCTTTTCAAAGGCATATAGATTTTCCCAATTGATTTTCCCTTTAACACACTTTGCAAAGGCAATTCAAATTCAAAAACTAACTCCCGAAAAAGATTTCCCTTTTAACAAGCCTTTTCAAAGGCAATTTTGAGTAAAAAAATATTTTTACCAATAGATTTTCCCTTTAAAAAGCCTTTTCAAAGGCATTTAAAAAACTCCAATTGATTTTCCCGTTTGAAAAGCTGAAAGGCAATTTTATTTAAAATAACTAAACATTGATTTTTGATCCGGAAGTCGTCCTCCAGCAGCGTGATTCGTGATTCGTTTCGTGATTTGTGATTCGTTTCGTGATTCGTGACTCCTGATTCGTGATTCGTGCTTCCCACTTTGTGAACTCTGAAAGTGCATATTTCGCGGCAGGTGCAGCACTTTGTCAGCTCTCAAGTGCAGATTTCGTGGTGATGGCAGCATTTGCTGAACTCTGAAGTGCAGATTTCGTGGCAGGGGCAGCATTTTCTGAACTCTGAAGTACCGACTTCGTGGCAGGGACCGCACTTTGTGAGCTCTGAAGTGCAGATTTCGTGGAGACCCCTGACCATGAGCGTGACTCGTTTCGCCAAAGTGCTGCACTTGCCACGAAATCTGCACTTCAGAGCTCACAA